CGACCCGAGTGCCGGGACAGCGGCAGGACGGCCGGGCTCCGGGACGAGCCTCCCCCAGCGCCGCACCGCGCCAGGGCCGAGGCGGGCGGCAGCGGCTCCGGGGTGCGAGGCCGGCGGGGTATTTCCTTTGGCCACGGGAGTCTGTCCCGCGGCGTGGAACTGCGCTCCCCTCCACACACCGCAAATTCCACACACACATGGATGTAGGTGTTGTGTGTGTGTATTTATATATATATATATATATATATATATATATATATGCACACATAATTATGTACATAATTGCATATGCACTTTTAGCAGAACACATGCAAATATATGTTGTATAAGCGCTTTTCCCTTTCCTCGGAAAAAACAGCCCCCCGCCGTCGCTCCACCGCGCTGCGGCACCGACAACGCCGCCGGCAGCCGCCCTGCCCCGAGGGGCGCMGCGGATCCTCACCGCCAGGCCAGCGGGAAGGGTGGTGGGTGCCCACGCAGCGTGGAAAGACAGAAGGGACAACGGGGAATCAGAGCGCCGGTSGCGGCGGGGAAAGGAGATGTCGAGCCCAAGCGAGGAGCGGGGCCGCGGCAGCGGCGGAGCGCGGGGCGGCACTCACCGGCGGGGGCGCGGGTGGCGCAGCCCAGGTCCATGTCGCCGCAGGTCCTGCCGGCGGCAGCGGCGGGGGAGCTCTTGGCGCAGCAGCCGCTGCCCCCTTCGTCCTCCGCCGCCTCGTCCTCGCCGCCCAGCTTCCGCCGCTTGGGCTGCCGCGGCGGCGGTGGCTGCTGCTGCTGCTGCTGCTGCTGCTGCTTCTCGGCCCCGATGAGAGCCTCCACGGAGAAGGCGTGAGCCTTGAGGCTCATGGTGGTGCCTGGCGAGGACCGCCGCTTGTCGGCCATGCCCGCCACCCTACAGCCCGCGCATCCAGGCACCCCGCGGCCGCCGGCACCGGCACCCGCGCCCGGCCCGCCGCGCCGGCCGCCCTCCCGTCCTCCCGACCGCGCAGGCAAGGGGCTGGGGCTTTTCCTCGCCTTTCTTTTTAAATCCGAGTTATCAGCCAAGTTTTTTTTTTTTTCTTTTGGGGGGGGGGGGGGGGGGGGGTTTGTTTTGGGGTTTTTTTAAGTGGAAAAAAAAAATCTATTCCTTTCTGTAGATGCGTTCCTTCTCTCCCCCTCCTCCTCCTCCTCCACGTTCTGCCCCGTCTGATGGGCCAGGCAGGACTGACATGGGTAACAAACGCTCTGCGGACACAAATTAGGGCTTGTAATTGAAATTTGTTGCCTTGATCTGTCAGCACTTCCAGGCAGGAGACCTGTGGGAAGAACTCGCTCATTAGTGTCACTGCGGCGGCGGGGGCCGGGCGGAGCCGCGGGGCGGGGGCGGTGCGGTTCGGCCGCCCGCAGCCCAATCAGCGCCGCCCCGGCCCCGCCGCCCCGGCCCCGCCGCCCGCAGGCTCCGCCCGGCGCTCCCATGGCGCGGCGGCTCCGCGCCAGGTGAGCAGCGCTGCCTGTTGCGCCGAGCGGAGCGGAGCGAGCGGCCGGGGCCACACGCCGAGAAGTTTTGCGGGAAAGGCGCCGCGATGTGAGTTGCGGCGCCCCGMGGATGCGCTGCGGGCGGGGGGCGGCAGCGCCGGGAAGGAAACTCGACGGGGAGGGAGCGGGGAGAAGGCGATCGGCGCTGCTGCCTCCGAGGGGCTGCCGCCGTGCCGTGCCACCCTGCCCGGCACCGAGCGGCGAGGGCCGGCCGAGATACTCCCACCCCCGGCCCCCGCTGGCGAACCTCGGCGTCCGTGAGTGCTGGGGGGTGACCGGGTCGGGGTTGCGCCGAGACAGCGGGAGATGGGGAGGGAATCCAGAGGCGGAGGCTGCGGGAAGGGGGCTGACACCGCCTCGCTTGGAAGCAAACGAGGGATTTGAGAGCCGCGGCCCCCGATCCCGTACCGGAGCGACAACAGAAAAGTGGGGGATAGAAATAAAGCGTGTTCCCGGGGTGCCCGGCCGCTGTCCCTCCCCGGCCGTGTGCGGGCTGCCGGCGGTCGGTCGCTCCGCTCGGTCGGGCGGCGGCCGGGGCGCCGAGCGGGGCTGCCGGCGAGAGGGGGCGGCGGAGGCGGGGACGCGTGGGAAGACGCCGTGTGTGTTGCCGTAGGATTTTTCCACTTTGAGACCTAGCAGGACCAGTTGCTGCGGTTCGGGCGGCGGTGGCCACGATGCGGGGGGGAGGGGGGAAGAGGGCATCTCCCTCCGAACGCGAGCAACAAATGGCAGCGGTGGTGCCTGCTGTGCCCAGGTGAGCGGCGCCGCCCCCGCTGCCCGGCGAGCCACCGGGCGGCACCGGAGCGGGTGGCGCTGGAGCTGCCCTGGGGGACCGTGGAGATGTGCGGGRTGTCCCCGGCTCGGGGCAGGAACGGGGATCGGGAGTCCCGCGGCTGCGGGGGGCTCCGTGCGACACGGCACCCGGGGCGGGGTACAGCCGCGACCTCAGAGCCCGCACGGAAATGTCGTGATCCCTTGCAGAAAGCGAGTACTGGGTACTGTGTGTTTGTGGGAACCGCGGGCACTTCTCTCGCCTTTCTGGCAAGCTACACGTCCAGAATTTCCCTCGCCAAAAATTTGGAAAATGCCTCAGATGTGCCAGCGAGAATTCTTCTTTCCTTCTTGGCTTCTGCCTTCAAAAATTAGGAGATTTTAGAGTGCCAGTTAGAAAACGTGAAAGGGATTCAGGCTGCAGGTTATCACTCAKTCTTTCTGATTGTCCCTAGATAGCAGAAACGGTGTGATTGCAAAATGAAAACGCCAGATAAGTTGAAAAGCATGAATAGACCAACTACTTAGAGAGTCAGAATGAAAACCAGGCAAACAACACTTAGTGCTGTCCTCCAAGAAGTAATCCTAGAGTTATTTGCATAGATATGAAAATGACAAAATAAGCTAATGCTTTTGAGATTATTGCAATTATTTATAATATARAAGCCATGAGAAAACATTACCGATTTGGCAAGGAAAGGAATATGGCACTTCTTCAAGCTGAAAACTATGACTGGGGTAGACTTTTCTTAATTGCCAAAAAAGACCTGTCAAAAATTTCTTCTTGTAACCTGTCTAATAATTTGTATGTTTAAATTGGCGGGTGTGTGTCACGCCCTACTGAAAGCAGTAGCTTGAAGGCTTTGACATAGAACACCACAGTGTTCAAATGGCTTACCTATTGATATTATTCCTAGTGATTTAATAAAAAAGGATAGGCTTCTAGTTTGGTTTAGAGGGAAAGAAAATAATCTGTAACATTAACTCAGTTTGCAAAACCTTTTCTATGTTCAGAGTCTAATTTTCTAGCTTAGTTTCTTGGTAGTAGAAATGCTCAGAATTAATCATAACTGTGATTGCGGCAGCCCTTGCTTGTGCAAGTTGCCTGGGTTTCTGTGGGATTCCTTCTACAGGTAATACTCTGATGACTCAAGATAGAGGATCAGGCCCATGGTCAGAGGGTTTCAGTGTGCGAGACCGCGCAGGATTGTGCCCAGTGGTGCTAATGAAACGTTCTGGGCTTCAGWAAGAGAARAATGTGAGGTTAAATCCAGATCTCYTGCATTTGTTCAGCTATTGCTGRCTGTGTCAGTGAACCCTGATCTTGCCTTCCCCTGAGGTCTGCAGTAAAAGTTGTGCTGACTTCAGTCCAACCAAAATGAGCTTCTCCTRTGTGATTGTAGTTTTCAATTGCCTTAGGGCGAGTTGAAGCTGCTGAGCATCTTGGAGATCAGGGCCTGAGTGAATGAGGCTTGTACCTGCAACTATCAAGAATCAATGTGTTTTGCCTCAGATGTGAGATTAATTGAAAAAGAACTATCATTTAATAGGCATATAAGTCTGTGCTTTGGATCCAATCCTGAGCTRATAAAGTCCATGAGAGCTTAGCCATATATAAATGAAACAGCAAGTCTTAAGGGTATGGGTGTGATTTGTCTTTTCCAGGTGCTTTATGGGTACGTGTTTCAAATCTTTTGGGAGGTAGGAAATTCTTCYTTCTCACAGTGAAACAGCATTAGAGTAACTGGAGTAACAGAGCAAGTGCATGATATGTCAGCTAAAGAAATATCCTCCCGGCAGGAGAGCTGGAATTTATAAAATGCAGCTGYATTCAGAAGTRCTAACTCAAGTGTCTAGAGCCAGAAAAAATGTATTGCTTCATTTCAAAAGCACCTTTAGATGTTCAGTTAAATAATAAGGTACTTCTGAGTCTTGCTTTTAGGGATATTTCCTGTCACTTCACTAGGAATATTTATGAGAGTAGATACATGGCTCACTGGCAGGAAGGTTCTAAACTTTTTAATGAAGTGAATGATTTAAACAAGAAGGAATATGAATAGAAATATTTGTTGTTGCAACTTCAGTTAATCAGAAGATGAACTAAGGAAGGTACTTCCTCTCAGAGTAGAATATTGCATTTGTGATGACTAACAGGATTTTCATGTAGCTGCTGTCCTTGTCATCTGTATACATGGTCTTTGGATCAGTGCTCATTAGAGAATGCAAATTAAATTAGTGTTCTGTGGCTAGCAAAATAATATCCTGAATTTTGCTTCGTTCAGTAAACTTTGTTCAGAAGCTTAGAGAAAACTCCTGTGAAGCAATTTAGAAACTTATAACAGTTTTAAACATAACTTTACTTCAATATGATGGTATTTTGAGCAAAGAATAAATTATTTGAGGTCATAGAATATATAACATTTACTTTGGCTTGTTTGGCCAAGCATTTTAAAATTAGTGTTTTATTTACTAAAAGTAACCTCCAGAAAGTGTAGTTTTGGTAGAGCACTTCAGTACTGGTATGAATCAAATGTCTGTATGTCTACAGAAAGTACAAGCAAAAAAGATACAGGAATTTCTCATCGCCTTCAATAAGTAATTTTAAAGGGATTACAATCTGTGAATACATGCATGAGCAAAGTATATCTTTTTCTCTTAAATCCAATGTGCTGTGGGTGAAGTAGCATCAAATTTAGAGTTGTTCTGGTGAATTTGTTCTCCACTTCCAGCTTCAGTCCCGCTCTTTTCATAAGTAGTTTCTGTGCTTCCGTCATTCTGGCACAGTTTGGATGTACAGCGGACTTGTGGGTGCATCCCAGAGGGAAGAAGAGTCTGATGTGGTGTCAGTTTTACTCACTGCTTCCTTAGAGCTCATGGGCCAGAAAAACAATTTCTGTGGAACCCTGGAGGTGGATCTCATTATTTCATGGTGCTTAAAGATGCATGAGCTTGCCTCATGGAGGTTTGTGTGGGTAGCTGGTGTCTATGTCTGCCCTTGCCACTGATGACCTGCCCTGCCTGTCCCTGTAGATTAATCCACACCTGGATCCAGCACCCGCTTGCTTTACACTCTTAGTTTAAACTTGGAAATGTAAACCCAGTGCTTACTGAGCAAGAAAGGACCTTTTATTCCTCTCTCCCTGGGTATTTAAATGCTCCACTGAGGASCTTCAGCAAGCAGATCTTTTTTAAAAGCTGGCTTATTTCTGACTGGCATCCACAATGGACAAGGGGAAATCCTTTTACCATAAGGATCATCCCTACTCCTTAGTTCTGTTTGCYATCAGCAAGGAAAARGCAACAGTTGCTGAATTAAAATGKTGTTTCTTYCTGTGGAGGGTATGAACTTCTGTAGGGATGAAAAAAAGAGAGGTAGATAAATGGGAGCAGATGAAGTCCCTCTAAATAAGGGAGAACAGGGAGGAAGTAGTGGCTGATCTGAGTAGTTTGACTTTGGAAGCTGATGTGGTAAGGGCCGTGCCACCCTCTGGCTTGGCTCCGTGCTGTGCCATGGGTTTGTCATGGCCCTGCCATGGGCCTTCAGAACAGATGTGTTGGTTGATTTCGGTGAGACCAGAATCCTTGCTGAGGAATTGAATTTGGCTTTTTGTATCTCAGCTCCATCGACAGAAAAGAGATAAAAACTGCCTCTTGAGGAAATGGGGCCGGTAAAAGGCCTTTTCAGAGATACACTGAGCTGCATAATTAGACTTTTTACTTAAACAGAGATGAAAATTAGCGCTACAGATCTTGATGTACTTGATTAAGGTTTACCTCTGCTTTGCAGGGTCAATTCAACTAGCTAGTGTGTGTGTTTTAAATGAATTTGGCACTTCATTAATAGCAGTTTCATAAAGCTGCTAACTTATCCTTTGAGAAGAAGAAAAAAGTTAATCTCTGCTTACCAAATAGTACTATAATGGTATGCTAATAAAAAAAAAAAAAATTAAAGGTGACAGAAGTGAGTGACAGCTCATAAATGGGATGCTTCTCTGGCTTGGAAGCAGGAAAGCAAATGGAGACTATTTAATTATTTAAGGAACAATAAATGAAAAGTCCAGTTCTCAAGTGACAGTAAAAGGAGAGACAAACAGAATTTTAAAAAGTAAGGGAAGGGAAACAATACATAAARAAAGTAGAAGGTGGACAGGAAGGGACCAAAGGGTCAGGGAATGGACTTAAAATTTCTGTGGAGTTTTCAGTTGGAAAATATTGCCTGTCTGTTGTGGTACTTACACAAAAGCCGGTATTTTACTGAAATTGTGTAAGTTTGACACA